GAGAGGTCCAGTTCTTGGGACATCTCGTCAACCAGAATGGGATTTTGGTCGACCGGCCAAGATTGAGGTTGTGATGAGTTGGGAGGTACCGAGATCCCCCACCGAGATCAGGAGTTTTCTAGGGTTGGCCGGCTATTATCGGAGATTTATCAAAGATTTCTCCAAGATTGCCGTTCCTCTCACCAGGTTGACCCGGAAGGGCGTGGTTTTCAGTTGGGGCCCGGAGCAGCAGGCCTCATTTGAGACACTTCGCCAGAGATTATGCGAAGCCCCAGTGTTAGCCCTTCCAGAGGGGATGAAGGATTTTGTGGTGTATTGTGACGCGTCGATATCGGGATTGGGTGCGGTGCTGATGTAGAGAGGGCACGTGATAGCATACGCATCGAGGCAGCTGAAGCCTCATGAGACGAGGTATCCTACTCACGGTCTGGAGTTGGGGGCTGTGGTGTTCGCCCTCAAGATCTGGCGTCACTATTTGTATGGGGTTCGGTGTACCATATACACGGACCACAAGAGCTTGAAGTATCTGATGGATCAGCCCAACCTGAACATGCGCCAGAGGAGATGGTTGGATGTGGTAACAGGATTATGAGTGCGAGATCCCTGTTTACCCGGGCAAGGCTAACGTTGTAGCCGATGCCTTGAGTCGTAGGGCGGAGAGTGCCCCGATACGAGATGTTTGTATGAGGTTGACGGTGATGACTCCGGTGTTGGACACCATTCGGGAGACCCAGGTAGAGGCCATGAGACCGGAGAACCGCAAGAGAGAACGGGTGATCGGGCAGGTATCTGAGTTCATTGCCGATAGCCGAGGGCTTATGACCTTCCAGGGTCGGATTTGGGTGCCATTTGAGGGTGGGGCACGTACCATTTTGATGGAGGAGGCGCACAGATCGAGGTTTTCGATCCATCCCGGGGCCACTAAGATGTATTTGAACTTGAAGAGAGACTATTGGTGGCCCTGTATGAAGAGGGATGATGCGTGGTTTGTGGAGAGGTGCTTGACACTATAAAAGGAATGCTAAGGCCTTATCCTCAGCCACCATTTCAGAGAGTGAAACCCTAATAGAGAGCTACCCTTCGTCCCTAGCTTGTGTGTGTGTGTTCTAAACTTCAAAGTGCTATTTCAAGGTGGTGAAAGAGAAGAGGAGGCCATTTTAGGAGCTAGAAGTTGGTGGATAAGAGTAGATGTGAGTTCTACAGAGGTTGGAGCTTCCTTCTGAGGTAAAAAGCTCAAAGCTTTCCTTGTCATTTGTGATTTGTGCTTCTTGGACCAATTTTTAGGGTTTTTGGTCCCAAGGTGGAGACTTTATGAGCAAATGGTCTCCATTGGCCTGGATCTGCCATATTTCAGGGTTATATGAGTTGTATGTTCATAAAAATCCAATCTTGGACGTGAATATTGAGCCATGCATGAGATCTAGACTTTATGAGGAAGAAGGAAAGATGTTAGAGTGATTAAGGACCTTTACAGCCATGCAAAGGCTTAAAGGTCTCGACTTTATGGATTAAGTGATCTTAGAGAAGTCAGATCTAGAGTTTGAGTTTATGTCTTAACCGTTTAAGACCAAAATCCAAGAAAGGCTGAAACTGAGACTTACGCTGGGCGTAAATCTCAGTACGCGCAGCGTAAGGGTCTGAGACCCCGATTCTGGATCGCCGGAGTACGCCCCGCGTACAAGAGCTAGTACGCGCCGCGTACTGCCCCTGTTGACTTTCGTTGACTTTTAGGGTTTTGGTCAACATTTGGATTTTTGGGTCAGGAAGGGGTAAAATGGTCTTTTACCCTTCTGTGGGATTGTAGGATGGGTTGTAATCTAGCCTTTGAGAGCCATTATTTATTTGAGAGTACTGTTTATCTGTTTAGGCGGGGGCTAGATCAGTGTTTTCGTGTGCGAGATTATCCGAGATACCCGAGGTGAGTCTTCTCACTATACATTACCTAGAGTGGTATTTATGTGTAGACCGGAGGGTCTTGTATGCTATGTGTATATATGAGATTATGTGCATTGTGTTATATGTATGCTATGTGTTGAACAGACCGGGCCGGAGGGCCCAACGATATAGACCGGACCGAAGGGTCCAACGACACAGAATGGACCGAAGGGTCCGACGAGCTATGACCGGACCAGAGGGTCCAACGAGCTACGGGACTGGAGGGTCCCGCTGAGACACATCGACCGGAGGGTCATACTGTAGCCTCGAGTGGCGTATGTGGTTGTATGTGGTATTTTGGGGAACTCACTAAGCATTTATGTTTACCGTGTTGTGTGTTATGTGTTTCAGGTACCAGTGAGGATCGCGGGAAGGCGCCGGCATGATCCGTACACACTTATGGAGTTTATGTTTTGTGATCTTGGGATATGTTTTGTTTGATGACAATTGTTGAACATGAGATTTGAGAGTGTTTAAATGAAAATCATGTTGTTTGAAAAATGAAAAATTGTTTTGAAAATTTATGTTGTTACACGCTACTAACAAGACGTGCGATGTTAAACAGAAATCGCGAGGGAGGACACGGACATCTATATCGCGATTAATTTGCGGATAATTGTGTATACCGGTCGAAGGACTTTAAAAGAAGATTTCGTTTGAGTAGGAATGTGTTCCTACGGATCGCCAACGCCTTGGAAAGCCGGTATCGTTTCTTTAATCTTAATACATATTTACTATACTTTTATACAAAATAAATACAAATGTACTACATGTTTCTTTGATTTTAATACAAATATACTATATTTTTAAATTGTGGTTAATTTATGTTTTAGGTATGAATTTTTTCAATTGAGATATGATGTGAGAGGTGGACGAGGGTTTACAACGTTGCAGAAATGTGTTGCGGCCATTCGTTTGATGGCTATGGGGGAGTCACCCGACACCATAGACGACTATATGAGAATGTCCGAAAGAACCGCAAGGGAGAGTGTGTATACATTGTCAAGAGGTGTTGTATGATTTGCAAGAATTGTATGCGGAAACCTTCGTTGCACGATTTGCAAGAATTGTATGCAGCGCATGAAGAATGTCATGGGTTTCCCGGAATGATTGGAAGCATTGATTGTACACACTGGAAATGGAAAAATTGTCCAGTAGCATGGAAAGGGCAATACACAAGTGGTCATCACGGATCACCTTCGTTGGTTTTAGAGGTTGTTACTTCCCAAAGATTTATGGATTTGATATGCATTTTTTGACGTCGACGGAATATCAGTCGCCAATATTCGACGATCTTTTGAATGGAAAGGCCCCAGATGCGCCTTTCACAGTGAATGGAAACGAATACAAATTTAGGTATTACCTTACAGATGGAATATATCCTCAATATTCCACATTCGTGAAGGCATTCTGACACCCGTTTGAAGAAAGAGACAAATTATTCAAGAGAAGACAAGAAGGAGCATGTAAGGATGTGGAACGTATTTTTGGAGTGCTAAAGGCGAAGTGACACATAGTTGAACATGCGACACGACCATTGGACTTAGAAACTCTATGATATATCATGTATGCCTGTATCATAATGCATAACGTGGTAGTAGAAGATAAATAACGAAATATTGCACACTATATCCCAACGGAGCCCAGACACGTTCAATTTTAACCAGGAGCAATAGAGTTTTTGCATAGAATCGTTGACATTCAGGACGCAAATAAACACAGACGATTTTGAGAGAACTTGGCGGATTATATCTTCCACGGTAACAATAACGAATAGCGGTTTTTAGGAAAAATAAAATATTTTTTTTATTGTAATGTTTTTTTTTTCAATTTGGATGTTATGTATAATTTAAATGTTATGTTACTTTTTTAAACATTATGTTTTATTTATATATTATGTTTTGTTTAAAATTATATTTGTTTTAATTAAAAAAAAGAAACTCGAAAAAGAAAAAGAAGAAATTATGAAATTATGAAATGGAAAAAATTTGATGTTATAATATGCTCTTAACATGGTGACTATTTCCACATTTGGTGTTATAACACCATTGCTTATGTGGCATATGAGGTGACATCAATTTGATGTTATAACTAGTTGCCACACCCAATGCTCTTAGACACATAGACACCTCCATCGTATGTTGTAGCACTAGAATCTTTTGTTTTTGTACTAGTTTTTTGTACACCAAATCAAATCTGGTATGCATATGCTTTAAAGTAATCGTAAAGTTCATTTTCCGAATCAAATATCATTCCAACTTTAGGATTTTTTTTTATCTTGAGGATTGAGAATTGTATGCCCCTTCAATTGAATTTGCAGCCTAGATCAAATATTTTACTAACAATACACCAACGATTTTATTAACAATAAAGTAGCAGAACCTACCAGCGGGAATAAAAAAGAAATTACCTGATGGTTGTTGCTGTCTTTAGACTTAAGATTTGGAGGCTTGAAGATGGCGCGCTGATGGAATGGAGAAGTAATCGGATATGGAGCATACGCAAGATTAAATGGAATGGTGGAATTGCATGGTGCACGTACTGATCTTATATTGATCTTTTTTTTTTTTTTAATTATCTTATTAAGGGTATTTTAAGGATATCAAATAAAATTAGATGAAATGGTGGAACGGTAAGATATTATAATTTTAATAGATAGCATATTTGTAGAAAAAAAAGCAGCAGCCAATTTAATTTCTCGTGTACGTGTAATGTGTTCTGCATTCAAAACCGCCGGCATTTTTAATTACTACCGGTGGAACGTTTTGAAAATAAGCTGCCCAATTTGGGATTAAAAATTAAAATTAATGCTATACAATTATTCTTCACTGTTGAAATCGTTAAATAAGACATTTTCTTCTCATATGTTTGGTAATTTACATTTACAAGAATTGTCGAGAGATCGAACTTAACTACAAACCCGATTCAGTGCGTCCAAGACTCAACATAATCGGGGAGCAAAGTTAACATGTACACGAGGGACAACATCCCTTATCAAAACGAAATTACAGGAAAGAAATTTGAAATTAAAAACAAAAAATAAAAGAGATCGCAATTTAATTTCTTCAAAAACTCATGAGCTTCTGCATCTTACGCTTTTGCTGAACATTTATGGGTCCACTGAAAAAGGCTTTTGGAGAAGAAATCATTTTATTTTCACTCGGTTGTCTTGAGTGCCCATTCTTGATCATCTTCTTCTGCTTCATGGTGGTGCTCTCGAGTGTTCCATCAATGGTAGGAATCATGTACCAAGCAATCGAAGTGCATATAATCGCCAAAGATCTTCCGAAAAATGTTAAGAAAACCAAGACCAAAACAAAAAACAAAGGTAAATTATAGGAAGGCATCCACCACTCCTCTAACTTCCTTTTCAAATTCAACTTCCATTGGTCAACCCTAATCATCTTCGTACATCGATCAATCGATGGTTTCACATCTTCTGTTTCTTGGGCTTTGATCGTACCATTAGTGACAGCTCCAGGAGGCTTTGAAGTCTGATGATGATCCAAAGTTGTAGCTCTCAAAAGTGTCGAATTTTTTGTGTCTTTCACGTGAATTTCCTTATGATGATCTTTGTCATGTTTCTTTGGATCTCTTAACCTCACAATAATGGGCTTCACATCGTTGGAGTTTGAGTACACAAACCGAACAAAGGAGATGTACTGTGATCCCTTTTGGGTGAAGATCTTCTGCTTCTTGTCATCAAGATCAGCCAAGAGAGCTTCAAATTTGTCGAGCCCACGATCTGAATACGGATTCTTGTTTTCTTTGTTCCTTCTGCAACAAAATCTGTGTCTTCTTGTTTTTCTTACAGGTGTGGGAGGGTATGGCCAAAGAACTTCGAAATCCTCTTCTTTCTGATCTTTGAAGGAACCACAGATGAAGGACATGGATGTTTTCTTGTTTTCAAAATTTGGATGTTTATGTGCATGTGTTTTTCTTGAGGTTTCGAGATGAGTTTAATGGTAGCTTTTTAGACTTTTGAGACCAAGAAAAAATTTGTCAAGCGAAGAGTTGATAAGAAGGATTTTATGGATATGTCGGAATAGTCAAAGGATATAATTGGAATTTTAGGTGCTTTGAGGAAGCTTCTAAATGAGTGCACGACTTTCGGGGGAAGTGGTAAACCTTAAATCCTTCTTAATATAATCGTGTAGGTCACTTGCAGAAAAATTAAATAAATAAAGGATATTGATTGTTGAAGTAAAAAAAAAACATGGAGGATATATATGGAGAATATATATATATAAATGAAATAGTAAATTACAAAAGTGGTTTTTGTGATTGGTAGACAATTACATCTTAAAACTAAGAGAGCCTTTAATCACTGTTAACTTATTTGATTGTCAGGTCTCTTGTCTCTAACTATAAATATGTATATCATAGGTTTTAAAATATCGACTTCAAAATCATGTTTTGTGAAAAAAAGATACATCATTTCTACATGCGATTTACTTATTATATTATAATATAAAATAAGTTTAGAGTTAAAAAGCATATCAGATTCATTTTTTATTTTACGTGCGTGTCAATCTATGCATTCGTCGACTATTTTACCTGCTCTATATAAAATAACACATTTTTTAGAATATTTGACAAATAGTTACATATGGTTAATAGTTTATCATTTTACAGTATTTGAACTTATCGTCCAACTGATAATATTTTAAATGTTACTCATTTGAGTCTTATTTTCTGTTTGATATTTTTAAGCAGATTTTTTTATTGAATAGTAGTGAATCAGACCTCTCCAATGATTTTGAAGGCCCTATGCGAATATTGAAAATGGGTCCTAAATATTTTTTTTTGTATATATAAGCAAAATTTATTAATATTACGATTAGATTCGAAACCTAATAGAATATCACTAGTTATATTAGTGATTAAGATAAAAAAAAATGTTCATTTACAAATAATCAACGATAATAATTGTAACCGTGACAGCAACCGCCTGATTCCAATGGATTGACGACGTGTTAGTGACGCACACCCAACACTTCCTATGGTTGGCCACAATAGTTATAAACAAAACATTAAATGAAAGAAACATTTTTTTTTTGAGAGAGAGGGCAATCTAAACCTAAAAAAATAAAAATGTGATTTTGGTGGTGCTCATGATCATGGTTTGTGTTATTTTGAAATACATGAACGACCATAATTTTAACAACTCGGTGAAAAGAAGTCATAATGAATGTGGGAACATTTTTGGCTTTTATCTAAGATTGGAAGTAAGAATGTTGGTCCTATTAATTGATCCAATCGATGTGATGACTCGCTAAAGGAATGTTTGAACTTGTTGTAATTCTAACTACCGAGTAGATGTTTCGGATTAAAAAAAATCGTTAAAATAACAATGTTAATACCAATAGTTTATAATCAATTTAACCATTTTATTATAAAATATGTGTAGATAACTATGTTCATAACAATGGTTCATCAGCATCAACCCATTTCCAGAAATTACAACTTTCGTATTTCGATCCTTCATGTTCAGAAAAAATTAACTCACATAACCAAGAAATTATTACGAAATGGATATAAACAGCTTTCAGATAGACTTACCAAAGAACAGGGACAAGTCATAAGCTTTTTTCCAGGATTAGCTTTGGTGGTTGATGTCCAAATTCGAGCACTGTACCCACAATCACAATGCTTCCCATCATCAAGTGTCCTCTTTGATTTTGAAATGTTGGTGCTTGACTTGGAGATCACAAATTTAGAGGAAGAAGAAGAAGTCATGGGAGAAAAAGGACAAAGCCGTTAAGGAGGAGATGTGTGCCCTAATTTGTTTTAGTAAAGATGGGTTATATCCATGAACATATCCTACATGTCATGTTTTAAGCCAACAAAGCAATCCACATGTCAAAAAAACTGCCAAGTCATCTATTCAATTATTCCTCCGGTTGCCCTCAGGTTACCACACAGTTAGATAAGAACAAAAAGTCAAGTTAAATGCTATTTTTTGAACGAAATCTTACTTTGTTGGGTTTTCTTGAACAACCAAAACAATATTGGGGTTTTTTAAACGATTTGAAAACTTCATTGGGTTTTTAGGTCATTTTCCCAAAATGAAATATAATAAAATATAAAATCCTTTCGTCATTTCATAATTCTTATTCAACAATATTATGAAAATATTGCATATACTCTACCAAAATTATAACAAACAAATACGCCTACGATGTTCTCGTGTATGTGTATGTGTCCAACTTTCTCTCTATCAATTCCTATATAGCCCCTAATTTTTTTTACCCTTTTAGGAAAGTAACGAAAATTCATAAAGAATTTAGACAATTAAATGACTAAGATTTGTCTTCTCAGTCTTACCAATTTTTGTGTCATGCTATCCTCTTTCTAGGTTGTCATACGTGATATTTTGTAAAGATTCCTAAAACTATAATCGGTGTTATCATTTATCATTTCAAGGGATAATATAAAAAAGGTCTTCTATAATCCAAAACAAGAGAAGATAATGCGCGCCTCTATCCAACTAAACCAAATGTTTTTTTGTTTAAAATCTCTAATAATATATTATTTATATAAATATGAAATAGAAAAATGGCTAAAATCCAAGGCCTTATTTTTTTTTCGGGGCTTTGTGCGGCCACACACCTTGCACTCTCTAAGGGTCGGCCCTCACATCAACATCAAGCTTTTAGTTGTTTTCATTACGAAAATTGAAAAATCGATTAACTAACATTGAAAATAAAATAATTAAAAATGAAAATAATTCTCTACAAAAGATAGTTTATTGATATAATAATATTATTCTAACTCAAGACATGACAAAAACAAGTAGACAATGAATCAATAATAATATGCAATATGACTTATAGTTTGACGTAATTAGCTTTGGAACTAGATCGTATGCAATGTGAATAGATTTTTGTGAAAAATGTCTAGTATTGAGATTGTAAAAACACAGATAAATATATCAAAATATCTCTTTGATTTATAATTGAAAATATCACTCAAAAACCAATTGGTTTACAATGTGTTTTGTGTTGCTCTGCATATTCATAGCTCGATATATGCTATATATATATATATATATATATATATATATATATATATATATATATATATATATATATAAGATGGAGTAAGCTTATAATATTAAACAAGTAAAGAGACCCAACCACTCTTTGATGATGTCCCCTACTTTGTTCCAGAAATTGTGTTAGCTTTTAGGAGTGGAAGACATGGGTGGAGAGAAATGATGACTTAAGATTCCAACAATCACCCCGAATCTCTAAGTCCTTCTAGAGATTCCCGATCACCGCCAATCTTTAAGTCCTTCTAAAGATGTCTTCAATCCCGATCAAGTCCCGCATTGTCTTGAACTTGGTTCGAGCCAATGGTTTTGTGAGAATGTCTGCCTTTTGTTCTTCACCTGGAATGTACTTTACCTCCACTTGTTCCTTTTCAACACACTTACGAATGAAGTGAAACCTCGTGTGAATGTGTTTGCTTCTTCCGTGAAAAACAGGATTCTTCGTGAGTTCGATAGCTGACTTGTTATCAACTCTTAGGACCACCTTCTCTTGTGCTTTGTTCATGATTTCGCCTAGCAAATCTTGAAGCCATATTGCTTGACATGCAGCCGCAGTTGCAGCCATGAACTCCGCCTCGCAAGATGATAAAGCAACAGTATCTTGCTTTTGAGAACACCATGTTATTGGAGACAACCCATAGTAGAAAATGTGACCGGTTGTGCTTCTTCCGTCATCTGGATCAACATTATGACTACTATCACTGTAACCAATTATTCGATTTTGTCCCATCCTCTCGTACTTGATTTCGTATCCCGTTGTTCCTCGTAAATACCTTAGGATGTGTTTGATTGCAACACCATGTGATTCTCTTGGATCTTGCATGTATCGACTAACAACTCCAACCACATATGCCATATCGGGTCTTGTCTGCAAGAGATATCTAAGGCATCCTACCAACTTTCGGTATTGTGTCGGGTCGATTTCGGGTTCATCTTCGGCCTTCGACATTTTGGTTCCTGGATCCATGGGAATGTGGGTCGGATTGCAATCGTGTAAACCGACTTCTTTTAGAATGCGTCTGGCATACGCTTCTTGGTTTATAGTAATCCCTGATTCTTCTTGTTTAACTTCAATGCCCAGGTAGTAAGTTAATCTTCCAAGATCAGACATCTCGAAGTTCTTGGACATTTCAAATTTGAACCTTTTGATCATGCTCAAATTTGTACCTGTGACAAACAAATCATCAACATAGATTGCTAAAATTAGCAAGTTGGATCCTTCGTTCTTCCGGTACACCGATGGTTCTTTCATGCACTTATGAAATTTCATTCCTTTCAAAATCCCATCAAGTTTTGTATTCCATGCTCTCGGTGCTTGTCTAAGACCATATAGTGCTTTTGAAAGACGGTACACCTTGTGCTCGTCGCCTTTCCTTATGTAGCCTTCCGGTTGATACACATAGACGGTTTCTCTCAACTCTCCATGTAAGAAAGTCGTCTTGACATCCAAGTGGTGAAGCTCCCATCCATTGGTAGCGGCTAAGGCAATGAGAAACTATATGGTTTCGATGCGAGCTACCGGAGCAAATACTTCTTGAAAGTCAATACCAGTTTGTTGTACGTACCCTTTAGCAACCAACCTCGCCTTGTGTTTGTTTATGGTGCCATCTGCATTTTTCTTCAGCTTGAACACCCATTTGAGTCCAATGGGCTTCACCCCCATAGGTTTGTTTACGAGAGACCAAGTATTGTTCTTGTTGATCGAATTGATTTCTGTATTCATGGCTTTGACCCACTCTGGTTCTTTCTTCGCCTCTTCAACCGATACCGGCTCGTCATTGGTTGCTAGGAGAAGTTCTTCAATTTCATCAACATAAAGTACATAATCTCGTAATC